CTCATAGTCGTATACAGTCGTCATATCTTATAACCAAAGCACAGTCGGCCAATTCGTATGGAGTTGTACTTTCATATAGACTGAAGGCTAGGCTAGACTAGGCTAGACTACGGTTCTATTGTACTTAAGCCTACAAATGCCAGGTGGCTAGTCCCATAGTAAGCATTACTAAGCATACAGAGCACGCGACGTAAACTAGTCTCCATGTTGTTGCAACACAATATATTCAGGACATGGTGACGCCCACGCACAATATTAACAGTGTCTTTTATTCAGTTGGCGTTTTTGGGCACAAGCTATTCAATACAAAATACGCTGTAGTCGATACACGATACTTTACTTTGGGAAAGACAATCACCAGCCGTAAATTTCTACACAGTTCTATATTGATTACTGCTTGTGATGCGACTCAATCATTACATGGTACACATATATCATCGATCGCAGATGTTTTCCTCATCATTCATGCATTACTCATCGCACAAACTTCACTCATGCCACATGACTCATGCTACGTGAGTCACTCAACACAGTCTCGTGATTACCACGGAGGTATAATCGAATGCAAGTTCTCGCTTTTGCGTATACGCTGTTCTCCTTCTCCCGAAGCAAAACGGCTGAGACATTACTAATGCCGACTAACCACCGCAGAATTGCTTGCATTTGAACGCCATTGATTCTTTTCTTGCAAGAAAAATTAAAATTTGAATTTAGAAACAGAACATAACGAATAACTATGATGTGCACGTGTGTAATTCGTAATCTTAATTAAATCCGCACTCAGTTTTGGAATAATACGAGGCATGTTTTAATTACAGTAAGGACCGCTTTGCCATAAAAGCAACAAATAAGTTTTTCCAAAAATACTTTATTCACTTGAAAGGCATAACTTAGCCTATCTACGTAATTCCCATCAACATCGAGGCATTTATCGTATCTTGGGACCGGCTTTTGTATGCTATCGTCAAAGGAGCTTGCCGCCTGATTAGGTAATTTCGTAAAGAACACTTTTTCAGGCAGCAGGAAACTTCTCAGCTAAGGACGAAATTGCGAATCACTGTTCTCTTTCACTTTACAGCACACTTTTTCAATCAGATCCTTGGTAATGGCTGAAGGTCTCTCACTTCGTTCCTCATCATGAATACGATCTTCACACATAATGTTTTCACCTCACACTTCATTGATTTGACAATTGATATCAACTGATGTGAAGCCTTGGCTTGGGCAGAGAAACGCACGCACTTCGTAGTCGGCGGGATTCTCAATAGGTGGAGGTATTGTAAAATCACGTAAACAGAGGTAAACTAACTCAAATGGTCCCGAAAGGTCGTCAGTGGCTCTCAAACAGTTGTAGCTACACGATCCACTTGCGTTTAACAGCGGCTGCATACATTTTAAGACGAGACGTACTTACGTCAAATACGCCTCGTATAATGGCAAAGCGTTACCTAAGAGGGAGAAATGCATGCGATTTTAGCGAAAACAAAATATGAGTTGATCATTTAATGATCTACGAACAAGCTGATTTGTTTAGCTTTCCTGGTTAAAAAATCAGAAATGTTTTCCATGTAAACCTGATCAAGTCTTAAATCATCATAACTTTTAATGTCCTACTTCCGTGGCTTTTAGATATGAAACTTGGCGTGTCTTGTCGACGCGGTACTAACTGTAATATCTGGATGATTGCGGCAACGTTCACGGATGATGTAGTTAGTTACTCATTATTTATATTATGTATAATATAGTACATGTTTACATTATACCCACCCACCAGAAATTAGATGCATGGCTCAGGTGCTACACTGGGATGTCGTTTTGAGAACATACTTCCAAAGAACAATTCAAAGGAAAATAATAAATAATAAGATTTGAGTAAGCTTTCCATTTGAGAAAATGAAAACCATAAATTAGTAAAAATAAGACAAAATATAGATCAAAGAAAGCAAGTGGACTCGCGTCTACAAATAAATAGAGTCTTAAAAGCAAGGCCTGTCTAATGAGGTACAAGAGATGAAAATAATAAGAGGCGTGGAGTTGAGCAATTACTTCATACACTCCGAACTCAGTATGCAGTGCCAAATTCTGGCGCGTAAACTAGTGCGTACATATAGCACTGTATTCTGCCGCACTTAACTGGTGCGGTGCTGAGAACCACTGTATTTTGCCGCGCCTAAATTGTACGTAAATCAGCAGCACAGTCTTCTGCTTTCTGCCGCCTGAACCTTGCGTCTGATACACAGAATTTACGTAACGAACTTATGCGTTTAGCGGTAACCTAACTAGAGAACCAACCCACGACTCAACAGTGGAACAGTTTATTTTAATCCGCAGCCTTGCTGTCTTCAAGCCTTGCAACTGCTACCCAAAAATAGTTCAGTTCATGTCAGATTTGCTGGCGCATTTATATCACAAATTTATTTAAAGTGACATTCGATCTTAACACGCAGCATGCACTCCCGTGCAGCTGCTTTTAACGATAATATCCACAAACAGCGATGTTATTATGATTTAAAGTGAGCCCAGAGCTGAAGCTGGACCATCACATGTTTGAGCAAACGTTGCATAGTGTGGAACGTGAACGCAAGTAGCTTAGTGGCTATACGAAAAAATATATAAAATCGCTAAAGCTTGGATTATGCCGATGAGTTTCATACCACAAATTGCAGAAAAATAAAGACACAACTTAACACAAGTTTGACTAATTAGCCCATACAAATAATTGAGCAAACATTGATCAGCTACTGAGACTGCGGTTTTTAAGCCCATACAATAGGTTGCAACAATCGTACGCCAGCTCAACATGTCTAATCTTGTGCATATAACTACAAGGTAAATAGATCGCGCCAAAATAATCACCGTTGGTAAGGACCAGAATGTAAACTCGAAATCATTCTATGGAAACAATCGACATCATTAACGTCCTAGACTCTTCACTTCGGCGTTAGTTTTCAATTTCACCTATATGCATTTGATACCGAATTAATTCAACCAACTAACACACGTGAAGGATACCCTATTAATAGTATTCAACCGTTCATAATTAATCTTAGCAATCATGAACAATTATTCAATGGTACAGATTTCATTCAACCCCCACCCTGGGAGGAATTATCCTTAACAAACGCCTAGCAGAGTGATTTGGTAATTCCTCGTCACACCAAGATTTTCCAACGCAAAAAAATCTAGTTTCTTTCTCTAATGAAATTGCTTCAAACTGTGGTTTGAGGTCGGCAAATTAATTATGAATAACTGAATTCGTAGCCTTAAAAATAACCACTATTTAACTACAGTATTCCGTTAACTGAAAGTCTAATTCCTTGGTGATGCAAGGATTTTGGTACCAGAATCAAACCAAGATCTAAACCCAGGTGATGGCCGATCAACCCAACACAGTAGGGCCGCAGATGGTTCGAAATAGAGGGTTTGAACCCACGAAAAAGGAGTTCAGGTGACCTGGCTTACCAGTCACGTCTTCAAACTGCTCAGCACACATGCCGGAAGCTCCTCTTCATTATTTAATAGTTTTAGGATACAAGGAATTGTGCACATTATACGCACAATCAAACACGAAATGGACTGGATCGACAATGGACTCAATCAAACACGTGCAACGGCGCACTGGGTCGACAATTCTCCGAACTCACTCGCAACTGGAATGCATAGCGCAACTGAATCAATAAGAAGTCCTTCAATTCTGAACAGATCTGCTTGATATCTAGAATATAAGTAATAATTAGCAATGAGTTACGGGAGTTATAGTTTATCACATTTGTTTCTTGATTAAAAATAACTTTTAAAAATTAGGTTAGGTTAACTAACCCTCTATCGCCAGAGTAACCGGAACAATATTGTCATAAGCCTACTTCTTAAAAAGGATACGTTATAGACTAGTAGTGAGCGCAAAATGACTTGCACTGAATGACTGATGGTTGCCGCTACGTACAACTTTAAAATGTTCTCTGTTGCGTATTCCTTGGCGGCGCATCAGCGTGACCGGGGACTAGGAAGTCCCGAACTCATCATAAAATCATAAGGTATTAACGTCCTCGGATTGCTACAGTCAATAGTGTACTTTTAATTCGATTTGAAAGTTACGTTCACGGTGAGTGACGGCTGTAGAGGGTAAATGAGATAGGCAATGTTATGATAGGTAAGGTTAAGCTATTTATTACATCAAAATGTGGTAACCTATCCTATCTTAACCTATTTTTTTAAAGTTTCCGTTGAATACAAAAATATTAAAAACATGTAATAATTAATTCCGCGATGCATTGCTTCTTATTCCAAACATCCTGAGTATAGCAGATCCGTTCATAATTGGACTTCTTATTGGTTCAGTTGCACTAAAGTGGCGTTCGAGTCCGCTGGCGAGTTCAGAGAAGTGTCGATTTGATCGGCATAGCGCATGCGCGGCCTGATGTTCATCGCATGTCGCGCTTCCTTTGTTTACGCGGGAGAATTAAGATCAAATACTCATTTGTACAAGCTCGTGTATTAACGCGTCTTCACCACCGAGCTTCAACTAGACTTAAAATTATCATTCTTTGATTAGAAAAGAATTGCAAAAATTGCGTTTATGTTTAAAACAAATCACAACCGTGCACTGGATGACGCACTCTTGTAACATGAATTCTGGAACAGCAGCAACGGAGTGTAAGTGAAAACACTACCAATGCCTAGAACGAGTACTCGACAAAAACGTAATTACCAACCTACCAAACATCACAAATTACTAACCTTAGGTAAAACTATTAAGGAAATAAATCCTGAACATTGAAAATAAAGCTTATAAATAACTTAGTTAATAAAAATGCAACAAATTTGTCTTCTGCGACGCTTGCTGCAGCGCGACCGGCAACCTCAACTAGCTTAAGGCTCGATCGCTTACTACACAGTAACTAACTACAACAATAGCTATAATTTACAACTTATAAATAAAATTAGTAGTATTAATAATTATAATAATTCGAAGCTATCACCAAATACTTCAGGAAGTTAAGAGCACACAAAAGATACGGAGAGTAAAAGTGGTCTCCCAAGCTCCCAATAAATAGAAAATAATGCCTGCCTATATAGAATCTGTGAAGTGCATCATTTAAATGATAATTACAAATACAAAATGAGGAAAGATTAGGCGAGGTTGTTAAAAAAGATTTCATTAAGGAGACAAGATTAACACATAATAACTGAATCCTTTCCTTATCGCATTAGCAAAACGATCAACTTCATGAAAGTATGTTCGAAAGAATTTTTAAAATGACTAATTTACACAACTTAATAAGGATCAATTATCATCTGCGACACCAGATTAATTTTAAAGGAGTCATTATACAGGATAAAGTAAACCTTGGACAAGTAGGTCTCTTCAACGCCGATAGGTTCTTAAGTTTAAGTAACTCTTACAAGGAATACATGATCTACATGCTCGCTAGTTAGCATCGTAAGGTGTATCAAAATACGTGGACTGCAATCAGAACCTTACGGAATATTCGTATACGCAGTTGCATCAGTGATAAACGTGACCTTATTAGCCTAGGAACGTACATTAATCGTATACAGTCGTGGACGAATACAGTGAAGCATCATACCTTAAGTGTAAGACAAACGTGACCTAGACCTAATAACATCTTAATAATTCGTTTCGTTGATATTGAGTGCAGACAATCAACACTCTTGTGCCTAAACTGTACACGGTTCGAGTATCATGTCTCACGATCCAGCTGCCATTTTAGAAATCATTACTGGATTGATGTAATAGGCTTTGCACATGCAATCCAATTCAATGGCTTAAGCGACTGAGTAAGCACTGGCTTAGACCGACAAACGACTAACTAGCATCGAATCCATTGCCTCATTGCAGCTCATAAGCTTAGTTGCCACCGTAGCACCGATGATCGTAATTACTTGCAAAGAGAGAAGGTAATTACGATGAATGTAACGGTACTTATGAGCGAATTCAATACAATTTTCAGAGCGAAATTCTTCGAAATTCGGAGCATGAATCGACAGGACAGGTTAGCGTGACATGATCTATTGCTCCGATGAACGGCAACACACGTGGTAGATATACACGAGAACTTGTGACGTCTCCGACATGCCGGAGCTTTGAATATAATTGATAATGCGAACATTAATGCCCCATCGCTGACCTTCTGAGCAGGCTGGTAGTAATGCACAATTTAAATTTATCACGTGGGAAATTGCGATTCTCAGAGGAACTATGACTTGAAGATTGTTTCTAAGGAATGGATATGCTGTTGTCTCGCAAATCCAAAGGCCGGATTTGGGCGCACAAGCCGGTGTCTGGGATTGAGGTATAAACACTCACGCTACTGCGGTCTACGTTCATTTCAGTATCAGAGTCGACGCACAGGGAACTTTTGTTCGATAGCATAGGACTGACTTCAGCAGATGATGTTGAGGGTTCAGAAGTCTTAGGGCTCGTGGCGACGGCCGTTATTGGGGTTGTGTTTCGAGGGCTCACAGGGGACCCGACGAAGGGCAGACCTGGAGGGCCTTGAGTCCTGAGGTATGAGTCGGAAGCGGCTGATGTGTTGTTTGAATCGTGGCCGGAGTCGACGGCGGCGGTAGAGGATGGGGATGAATCTGACAAACGTGGATCCATTGTGGTCTTAGAGGAGTCATCTCGTGAGTATTGTTCACAGGTTGTCGTTTCACTAGTTGGACTCTTATCCGAATGTGTGCGAGTTATCATCTCTTGTTTCTGATCACTCTCCTTCAGATCGTCAACAACGAGCAGTTCTTCTTCTTCCTTGACTTTGGTCAGGCTAATTTCAGTCTCACGAGGCATATTGGTTTTCTCGTGAAGGCTAGAGCGATTCTCACGCTCTCCATTGCTCATGCTAACAAGTTCAGGCAGCTTCAGGTTTATTCTGGACCTCATGCGATGCAGGTAATCACTGCCTGGCAATAGGTAATCATTGCCAGGCGGTAGATAATCATTACCCGGCTTCAGATGTTCGGCAGTGAGTGATGATGTGACTGACCATGAGGGATAAGGAAGTTTTTCTTTCAGGGCTTCGCTCCCACGACTGGATAGGTCTCGAGGCAGGAGATCCAACACAGATTTAGACGTGTATTCTGAGAGTCCAAAGAGGCCGCTTGACCCTCCAATATTCTCATGCGGATTTTGGTCGAACCGCGAAACGTTGGGGCAAAATTTTCGCAGATCTACTTCTACATTGGAGGCGAAACTGGGCACAGGGTTGTCAGTGGCGTAGGTTTTTGACGGATGGGCACTGAATGGAGGGCAGGAGTCTCTGCCAGTTGCCGGTTCAGCAGAATGCGATCGTGAATCTTTATGGTCCTTTACTGGGTATCCTGGGTTTGAACTCGAGGTGACCAAAGCCCCACCGCTGTGATGAACCACGCCGAGGTTGTCAACTCGTGGTGGTGTCAACCTGCCCGAGTCATGACGGGGGTGGTGACGAAGTTTGTTGGGTTGGCTGGACATGGTCGAGGTAATACGACGTGGAGTGGTGCTGATGCCGAGCTTCTTTATTTTGTCGTAGAGAGTACGTGAGGGAACCTTGTACTGCCGCGACGCCTGTGTAAGAAAAGACGTTATAAATACTTAATGCAGCAGGAACAATTAAATACCGAAATGTTAGTGAGGGAAGTTTCATGTGAATAATGATGGTAGCGTTTATGCTGAATGTACAGCAGTTATGCGCGTATAATGCATTTGATCAATGCTATTTCAGTCCCATTAATTTTATATGCAGGGGCATACACTCTCACAGCCATAACACACGCTATCTATCTCCTTTAAATTTTGAGAATAATTGAAGGTTAATTATTTCCAACCAAAATTTTGAGAAAGCCCCAGAGAGAGAAATTTTAAAAATTAAGTGAAGTACTGCATTGAGGGCTACTCTACAGCAAGTACTGACCAGAAAATAACTGTAATACTGATCTGCCCGGTACTGACCAAGGATACTTTAGTACTGACCAGCAGGTTACTGAGCAAGGATACTCTAATACTAACCAGAAGGTTACTGCCCAAGGATACTCTAGTACTGACCTGTAAGGCAGTAGTGCCGTTCTTAACAGCATCGATGGCTAGGTTTAGGTCCTCCTTGGAGTATTGCTTGTAGCGCTTCCACTCTGGCTTGTGGTTACCGCCCCCACCGCTGCCACCGTTCACGTAGGGGGCGTACGACGGGGAGCTGTACGGAACTGCCGACGTTGATGTTGGGACTCCGGCATTTCTGGACGTGGTAGTGTCTGACAAATTGAAGTTTGAACTTTCCGACGACCCGTTGACGAGATTTGAGTCAGTTTCATGGATGGATTCTTCGGTTTTGAGCGGCGGTGACACGCATGGGCGTTTTCGATGAGGGTTTTGAGGGTAGGCCGACGTGGGCAGTAGGCCTGTGGAGCGCCAGTACGAGCTGAGGTCGGGGGTGGGGGAGTGGCGGCCACTGCGAACCTGGCAGCAAAATTTGCGTTATATATCAGTGCACATGATTAATCTTAATATATTTAACCTTAACCTTTCACATCACGTTGCATTTACTTCATCGTCCATTTGAATTTTGGGTTCACTTGTATTTTCGGTTTAGACAAAGTTATCCCTTCAATAAAGCAGTAATATGTTATTCAATTCGTGTGGATGATCCCTTAGGCAGGCAAGTAATTGCGACAACTGCCTTTCTAGGAAAGTAATACAACAATAATCAAGTGAGGAATGGACGCATAATTAAATCAACTTTATCGGTGCATAAGCGAAGTCATTTAATTATAAACCAGAGCTTCAGAGCAGCACTAATGCTACGATCCCTGACCTCCATACGCAACGGCGACACGACATCTCGGTAGAACTGGGGCCATAATAATAATAATAATAACATACTTTCAAAACTGGCAAAGTGAACGTAAGTACTTACGCTCTATTTTCTTGTCTATGATTGGTGGATTTTGCATGAAAGGCCGTCAATGATTAGCTGATGAACTTAAGATCTCTTGACTTTTTTTGAAAGTATAGGCCCTAAGCAACAAATTTTTCTTTTACGTTGTTCCTGCCACAACAACAATGGCTTCATTTCTACGGGTCTACATTATTGCTCTTGGTTTTCCATTGTTACAAGTGAAGCGTAAATATGTGTCGTCACACGAATCAATAGATTTGGAGCATTTCTTAACAAACTGGGGCAAATTATCAACCTTATCCTTCCCTTCTCATAGGAAGATTTTAGCGCTTCTTCAGGTTATGGAGGAATGATTACTTTACTTTTGTTTTTTATCAATTAAGACAACATTTGTGAATGAGGTAAAATGCAAATTATGCCATGTCAAATTGGGCATAAAGTGAAAATCTTCGAAAGCCAGGATTGCTATCGTACATGGTCTGCAATAATACAGATCTCCCGTGTTTCTATTCCTGCGATCCCACAGCCTGAGTTAAAAGTACGAAACCGATGCATAAAAGTACACGAATCTGTAGGCAGAAATTGCCCCTGTACCCCAAATTTTTGCAGATCATGTCACTTGGTCGTGCATTGTCATTTAATGTATATCTTACTGCGAATCAGCTATCTTTTTCTTATCGGACATTCTGCACTGAAGTAACATGACCAAAACACGTGATGTCTCAAGACGCTCTTGTCGCGAGTGATATGAATAAGCGTCAACATTATTGCGGACCTTAGACGCATGCGGTAATATACACATGATATATTAACGCTTATCAGAATGCATAATTTTACAGAATGGAGGTACAGCTGTACCTATATGCAGTCAGGGCAAAGGTAAAGAAGCTTTGCAGACAAGTCAAGTAAAGATGGTAGTGCATGGGAACCTGCAGACAAGTGTTGGTCGAGGGTAGTGCGACCCTCCAAAGGTGGACAGGACCGTTAAACAAAGTTTTAACAAAGACAACACAAAGATTAAGTAAAGAATGCTTTCGGACAAAAACGACGTAAAGTTCCGATAAAAAAAACACCGTTTCCCGGCAAAGACAATAAACACTCGCCTGGTCATCGTCGGGGTAGTTGCTGAAGTCGTCGTTAGCGGCTAAGTCTTTCTTCACCGACACGGACCCAATTCTTGGTATCTGAAACACCCACATTGATAAGAAACTCCATTGTTCCTTCCACCTACAAATCATTCACAAACAATTCAATGCAAGAAAATTCATTCTCGTTACAATCATGAATACATAAAAGGAGTGAGACTTTGCGCTGCACGTCTGTCACTTTCTGCGCCATTTTGACCCAGTTCGGGGACTAAAGTCTTATCTAGCTAAAGTCTTATCATTACAACGGGCAGAAAGTGTGTCACAACTTGGAAAGTGTGACCCATTCGTCTTATCAAGTGTACCATCAAGTGATTGTGTTCATCATAATCTATATTAGGACTGTTCATCACAATAAATGGAGGGTCAGATAGCAATGAACATTGCAATTTGGATTTTTTTGCAAGATTTATTAAAGCGCGTGAAATTTTACGATGCTGCAACCACACGCTAGAAGCAAGAGAATACATTTTTGCATCTTCTTTTAAGCAAACGATTTCTTTTCTAGCTTAAGAAGTAATGACAAGCCTTAAGAATCACACTTTAAACTAAATCAAGAATCCTAGAGCAACATTTTCAATCCTACCGAATGATAAACTCTGCAATGACACGGAAGAAGAATTAAATATCTGAATTATTATTAAGTTAAGCTCACCTGTGGAAAATTATTCCGCCCCAAGATATCCAGGGGGGAAGCAGATGGCCCTACGGCTTGCATGAGGGGGAAGTTGAATGAGGGAAAGGACGAGTGGAAGCTGGATGAGGGGAATAGAGACTGGGGCAGTGGTGGAGGTGACACGCATTTACGCTTGCTTTGAGGGGAGCTCGGTTGGCTGTTCATCCAGCAAGGGTGGATGGAATGTCCGAGGTTGACCGGAAGATGATCTCCATCAGGTGAACTGGCGCGTTTGATGTCGCGTCTGTCGGAGGAGAGGACGTCGGGGCGGTTCAGGTGTCGGTCCAAAGATGGCGGGTAGAATGTCAGGCTGGGGCTCAGTACGGACGAAGGGATCATCATGGGTCGCTGCGACGACGGCCTTTCATCGCTAGGGGACGGACTTTCCGAGGAGGAGGGACTGTGGGGCAAGTATTCCTTTTTGTGGGACAGTGGTGCCGGGGACTCGTGCCGGGACAACGGGGTGCTGGACTTGGAACGTAATTTCTCTTTCATGACTTCAGTAAACGCGGAGGAACCAGAAAATTTCATATTATTCAAGTACTCTGACTCCAGAGCGTCGTGTATACGTGAGCGTTCAAATGCCTCCAAAGACGTCATACTTCTGTCTTCGGCGTCCATTGAAGATAGCGAAGTTTTCTCCGCGCTTTTATTGGTGAAATCGTTGATGGATATCGCCTCCTCTAAACCACGAACCTTGAGGCTTTTGGCAATAGACAACAAACCCTTCAGCTCTTTCTTTTGCAACTCCACTTCCCCTTTGTACATGTACGCGAGAAGTAACTTCATGTCGAGACTCCTAACGTCTTTGAATATCAGACAAGGATGAGCATTGAGGCCTTGTGCGCTCTCGTCTGCCGAGATGAAGAGTTCTCTGAAGTAAGGCGAAGATGCTGCAAGAATGAGGCGGTGGGCTTGAATCTTGACTCCATCCTCAAAGGCTAGGGTAACGTCGGTGAGGGTTGAGGACTCGCACGTTGAGGTCTTGTAGAACTCATCGTTTATGTACTGCGTGAGGTGAGAACCGTGGTTATTCCACCTCAAATATAACCTTTGCGAGGCGTCCATCTCTGCGGGAGATGGCGAAGCCATTTCTGGCGGCGACTGCCTGTCTGGAGGCGTTGAACCCTGCAAGAAAAAAATTGTATATTAAAATTGCATATTATTAAAATTGTATATTGAAAGTAAACTGATTTATTCACTTATGAGTACTTCCAAGTCGCGTAAATTGAGGTTGAAGGAATTTCTAAGACCATTTCTTCGGTCAGATGCAAGCATTGTGTAAAATATAAGAAAAAACTTAAGTAAATGCCACTCTACAAGGATGAAATCAATAAACGAACAACAGCAACAATAAAATAATAATAATAAGCGAACACACAATAAAACACGCAAATATTGAAAACTTTGATTGAAAAAATTACACAACCATGGAATTGTGTCAATTGACACAGGTAGTCGGAATGATCAGGACATAAACTAGGTTAGATTCCAATTTATTTGATAGCGATGGCAATAGGAAATGCTCTTTTAAATGAGTATCTTATGAATGCGCAGCGCCGTTCATTTACCATGAAAATTTGACGTTTTCACGAAAAAATTAGAAAATTCAAGTGTTGAGATAAGTTGGAAACACGGAAATGTCGAACCGATGATGCGGTGCAATAGTGACTGACATGCGAGTGGATGCCGACAACATAAATAATAGCAAAATCTTATATACTTCGATGTGGTGAGTGAACGAAAGTGCCCGCATGATTGAACATGTTCCCATTTGTTGATGACTTGATGTGAATTCTTGTATTAAACCTAGGCCAATAAGGTGATATAAATTGGTACTTCTTCAGTTTAGCAGTCACGAAAAAAAAAATCGGCTGCCTGTCTCGTGACATGAAAAATAACCCCAAAACCAGTTTTTGAATAATCTAGGGTCACGGCAGGATAACCAATTCTCTTTCTATCCGGCAATAACGTCGTTATCTACAGGTAACCTGGTACAGGAAAAATTCTCGGAAAAACTTGACTGAAATTATTTTTAACTTTTAGTATTTCTAAAAAAAGTAACTTGGCAATCCTGATGTAAGCCCAGATTCTTCAAAAAGCTGGTTTTAGGCGGTACATTTCACGTCACGAGACGAGCAGCCAAAAAAATTTTTTTGTGCCTGCTAAACAGCATAAGCGCCTTGAAAGGCACGCGCGCCGCCCATTGCGCCCCGAAGCTAGTCGGTGACGTGATGATGACGTCATTCATTCAATTTCCGGTTCAATGTCCAGCCTAAATTGCGACGATTGAAATAAGTCATCTCGCACATTAAACCGAGTAAACACGGGTGGTACAGGAATGAAATTAGAAGGAGGACGTTCAAATCATTCGCACGATAGGGCAAATTCAAATGCCCGAGATGATGAAAGCAATATCAAGAAAAAAAGGAAAAATAATACCTTTTTATTACTTTTTCTCAGAGAACAAATAGGGGATAAAATAGAACCTTTACCACAACAGCGATGGCAATGTAATCGTTGCAAGCCGCTATCTTTGCGACTTCTAGCATACGAAAGAAATAGGTAAATCAAAGTAAATTAATCAATCGAGAGGTCATCTAAAGTTAACCTCCACCTTCCAAAGCGATTAATAGGCTACGATTAACTCGATACGTCTTCTTTGCCCGTTTGGGCATAGAAGTCGTGTATTTTTATAACCTGAATGAAAGAACAAAAACTTATTTTTTTGTTAAATACACGCATTTGTATTCAGTAAATTGTGTGCAACGTAAAATTCTGGAAAGTGAGTAGGTACCCCTCAGCAATATATACCTATGTGTCCGAAAAAAATGATGTGAAACATTCACAACATTTTTAGTTATGGCGCTATTGTGCTCATCTGCAGGAGCACAGAGCAGTTACTTTTCTGCCTGGAGGTGCGACTTCTGCGTTGGCGAGAGAATAATTTCCAGGAAAAAGGCCGCCGTGTTTTCACTAGGCCGCCTTGAACGATGCATGCTTCCGTGAATTAGGTATTATATTTTAGTGTTGATGAATTTACATTATATATAAGACCACAACTATGTCACTATGGGCCTAAATTATTATCATTAGTCAGGGATTAAACGATTAGTGGGTATTCCGATTAGTTTTCTGGGATTCTGTTGTCCTGACACATGATATTAGTTTATAGTTATGTCTTATAACTAGTCACCAATTGATTGGTTTAATAGATTTATTCAATTACACGATTATTAAACAATATTCGCTAAATGACTAACCCAGTGCAGCTGTGGCTCCCACATGCTGCTCCCACCGGCTGGTCTCGTTGACGGAGCAATCGTGGCTGCACGCAACAACCTTACTAAACAAACCGATTAATCCTCGCTTGGTCAGCGCAGCGATCTTCCTTCACTTCAAGTTCCAGCTTTGTTACTAATATATTATCAATTGAAATACGGGTACAATGCCTATTATATAGCACTTAACCATCAGTTGGCACAAATAAGCAAGGCTTCAGTTTGTTACTGTTCGCAAGGCACACACAATATGTCGTGGAAGTTAACGATTTGCACTGATTAGGGCAAAATATTCACCGGAGATAATCAAGTTTCACAAGTGATGCAAGAGGCGGCAGTGACAGGAGCGCTGTGCCCACACATCACACCTCGATAGCAGCAGTCAAGGAACTGGGCGGCGCTGCGCCACCCCGTACGTTTTATCGAGTATGACGAAGACTAAAAGAGGAAATGCAGAACTCGGTGACGCGACTCATTACTCAGAATCTGCGATCGCGCCACTGCAAATTTTCCTCTTACTTTTGTGTTTTTCACTGCATCAAAGGTTGCATTATACTTCAATTTTTATCCCGAATGTCGCATGTATCTTCATTTTTATTTTTTTGCGATATTTTGGGAATGAAATTTGTTTAGTTTCTATACTTCGTTGCTTAATTTAAAAGTCCCGCATTTGGTTCTCTGACTCGCACACCGTAGGCAGTTGCACTATTATCAAATTCATGTACATAATCTAGCTATTTAGAAAAGCAGCTTACAGGATTGTTGGATTTGTATGTTAAATATGTAATTTGACATTGTATCGACATCGGTGTTCCAGTCTGAAGAACACCTTGAGATGAACACGTTGTGCCAGGAATGTGGGTATGCACGTGATGCTGTCTTTAGGGATTTTTGAACGGAAGCTGCGGTATTTATGGAACAGGATCTGTAGACTACGCATGCGCACCTGTAACCTTGCATGCGTCACTTGTGAAAGCGTTCCCTGCACCAGCGTAGGATCCTTCAGTGAACCAACCGCTTAAGATTTCGCTTTTGAATGAGATTGCGTGAAGCGATGGACAAATTCTCGTGGGATTATGATTGACTGAACCGCTCAAGATATCGTTTCTGAATGAGATTAATTGAAATGCTAAAAAATATCATGTGAATGAGATAGCGTGAACCACTGAACTAATTCTCGTGGGATTATGATTGACTGAACCGCTTAAGATATCGTTTCTGAATGAGATTAATTGAAATGCTAAAAAAATCTCATGTGAACGAGATAGCGTGAACCGCTGAACCAATTTACAATTGAGTGAACCGCTAGGTTGTATAACTTGTATAATTACAAAAAAGTGAACCACAATGCCATGTGGTTGCGGAACTTAATAACCATGTTGCCCAATTCATCATATCTTCTTATAGAATAGAATAGAATAGAATAGAATAGAATAGAATAGAATAGAATAGAATAGAATAGAATAGAATAGAATATAATAGAATAGAATAGAATAGAATAGAATAGAATAGAATAGAATAAAATAGAATAGAATAGAATAGAATAGAATAGAATAGAATAGAATAGAATAGAAGTGTCGGCGTTGAAGAAATAGGCCCATGGCCTGTGTGCATGTCGCCTTTAAAATTAACATATCTCGTCTTATACGAGTATTAAGCTCTCGCTACTGCATTACCTCTACTAAAATTTGTATGTTAATATCAGGAGACTATGTGAGGATAAACGTGTCAGTATGTGTTCAGACAACGAAAATAGCTTCGATGGCCAGCTGCGAAGAACGAACTTGACGTTGAGAGGAAAATTTATAGCCACTTGTTTGAGCAATTTTAAGTGCAATTGCAGTGCTTTGCTTGCGGATTTTGTATCAAAATTTATCCTAATGATGCAGAGCTAACACTAGACTGGTTGATTATAAAGTTTTTTTTTTGTAAAGTTCGCAGAAAATTCGCGCGCACTGAGCAGACGCCGCCGAGTGACGTGCGAGGAAATGCCAGAGCCGATCTTGCGCTGCGACGAACTCTTGTTGGTGTTGCTATTTTTCAAGTTGCTTTTATTTATTGCTTCCTTCTGCTGATGTTCGTATTACTTTTAATGGTTCTTCTGCTGGTGTTGTTCGTGTTACTTTAATGGTTCTTCTGCTGGTGTTGTTCGTGTTACTTTTAATGGTTCTTCTGCTGGTGTTGTTCGTGTTACTTTTAATGGTTCTTCTGCTGGTGTTGTTCGTGTTAATTTTAATGGTTCTTCTGCTGATGTTGTTTAGGTTACTTATAATGCTTCTTGTGCTGGTGTTGTTCGTGTTACTTTTAATGCTTATTCGTCTGATGTTTATGTAGCTACTGCCGTTGTTGCTCACTATGTTGCTTGTATTGCTCTTCTCCTGATGTTACGGATGTTGCTGCTGATGTTTTGATGTTGATTTTGCTGCAGCTGTTATTGCTGTTCGCGATCCTTTTATTGCTTCTTCTGCTGATATTGTTGATGTGACTGCTGCTGCTGATGTTACTGCTGCTGTTGATTTTGTTGCTGTTTTTCGTGTTGCATTGATTGCTTTTATGCTGATGTTTTTGATATTGTTGCGGTTCGTGTTGCTTTCATTGCTTCTTCTGCTGCTGCTTTTGACGCTAATGCCGTTGTAGTTGTTAATATTGCTGCTGTTGTTGTGCCTGCTGCTGGTGCTATTGATGATGTTGTCTCTACATTCTTTGTTGGTGCCGCTGCCCTTGTTATTTGGCTGCTGCTTCTTAGCTCATTCGTTAGTGTTTTGGACGTAGCAGTTCCAGGCCACGGAAGGCAGGTCGTCCTCGAATACTGAGAAAAATTTAGAGACTGTCCAAACAGCAATGCCCCTCTTGCTTTTGTGTGGACCATCCTGACCCAGTTTTATCCGGCAAGTGACGCATCAGAGCTACATGCACATGCAGGAAGTGGGTCACTATTTGGATAAAAAATTTTTGAGAGCAGTTCGCGATGACAGTGGAACGTGGACACCACGCATCTGCTCTCAGCTGGACAAGATGATGCATAAAGCAGTTGCTTGCAGCTATGATGATTGCACTCTTCAGGGCTCACGTGCTCGCAATTATGGAGTACTGCTGCCAGCTTTGGGCGGCGCGTATACAGTGGGTGCGATGCAGCAATTATAGAGCTGGGCAGTCCAACGGTCCTTCACTGCAAGAATTAGCAGAACGCGGGACGAGGTGAACTGCCGGAAGACGCTGACGCACCTGGGACTATACCCAGGAAGGGAGAGGAATATAATACTGAACACGTGGAAGATGATATCCGGACTAGAACCTAATTTTGACCCATATCTTTCAGATTTTCCGGTATGTATTTTTGAGCCGAGAGAAAAACTTCACTCTAGAGGCTTTTTAGAGCCCATTGGATACGTTCTTAGGCAAAATCCATGATCATGCGCCTCTTCCCGACTAACTACCAGCAAAAAGAGAGCAAAAGCATATAGCCAGAATTGGAGCAGATGCACGGTATAGTCACGTTTTCTGGTGCCATTGTGACGGGATGTGTCTGTGGGCAGTGGACGATGAAGGCGGCGCATCAGCATGGGCGTGGAAGTCCACTCATAAGGAGATGAAACATGAGTTGCAGGTGTTTCGTCGATGTCTAAAGACGGAAATATTTTGCAAAGCCTATGCATCTAGTGCTTAATCATTTTATCCGTTCCCATTCTTTCTTGCTTCTATTTGTTTTTCGCTTGCTTTTAATCGTATGTGTGACGTGCCCTCGAAGTTAGCTTGAACCAGACGCCACGATAAATGCTCCGTAGAATAAAATAATAATAATAATAATAATAATAATAATAATAATAATAATAATAATAATAATAATAATAATAATAATAATAATGATGAGGAGGATGTAATGCATGTGAGGGAAACGCATGAGGGAGTGACGAGCGGGCGGTCGAGTAACGATCGAATAGTAACTATACGCGCGTAGGAGTAATGCATTATTAATATTAAGATACACTTGATTATTAGTTAAATAACCACTCACCTATAGTGCCTTACTATAGTTGTCACCAGCATCAATGAGGTTTATAATCACTATTGCATCAGTAAGATTAACCCACATTTGATGCCTAACAGCGGTTGACACCTTACTTGTGCATAAGTGTGATTACGACTCACCTTATCTACACGTCTTTGCACGTCAAGATCCTCGTGAGATACGGGACCACTTCTCGGAAATTCCTGCGCAATTCAATGAAGTCAAACCAACTGATCGTACACGAAATGTTGTAAACAGCAAACTGCACAACTTCTTGTTCACAAACTGCACCACTTGATACTAGCCGCGTCTCGGCAGAGATAAGACTGTGCAGTATGTCTCTTGCCCGTGCGCAATATACTCGACTTACCTGCCATATCTCTTGTATCGCAACACCTTCAGGCAAATAACACTTCCGTAACGGACTCTAATTGAAAAATCTTATCCATATCAGCATCGCAAGCCTTGATGCCGTCGCTCATTCCGAAAAATAGACATTATTAAAAACACGCGCAAAATTATTAAACAAATTTTTAATTTACAAGCTCAAAAATTCCCAAGGATAAGAAGCGCGTAATTTCTTCATTGTTTGTAAACGCATTTTCAATTAACAGATTACATCAAACAGATCGCGGCTTATGGCAAGGACAAAAAATACATATATATGAACCAACGTGCGTGCTTATCTATGCCGATCTACGCTGCGGAATAATGGTCTATGAACGTATTTGAGCAGCTTTAACTATGCCTATTTAATTAAGTGAATTAACTAATCTTTGTAATTCATGGGTGGATTAACGGATCATTTTGTAATAATGACTCAAGATTGGCGTCGGTCATATAACATGATAAACTTGGCCAATCAAAGCACCGTTCCATCGCTGCTATTGATTTCATTATTGTACTTTATTTGGATACATTAATTGCAGGACGATTATCTTGGTCAGTTTAATAATCCTGTTTAGGATACTCATCTTGGTTATGATGAGTACCCATGATGTGATGAGCACGGTAATTCATTCATCGTAGCCTGATACATGATAACTTCACTCCTAAGTTCGTATGGCAAGAAGGAAATAACTGCGATGAAGTGCACATGTTTCCGCCAACAGCCGATTTCTGAGAAGGGTAGTCGAGGACTGGGAAGACGGCGCGAGAAGCGGTCGCTTAATTTCATCAGAACGCTCCGCGCCGGCGAATTGATCTTAAATGTACTGGTACATTAACGTTGTCTACTCTGTACCTACAGGCATGGTAACGAGAGTACAGAAACGTCACCCGTCGCTAATGATATTCTTACCTAGCTGCAGGCCGCCATGAGACCACGGGGGAAAGAAAAGTTACTCACGAGAAACACTAGAAGCAAATTGTAT